CTTTAATGAAAAACTTTTCTCCAATAGGATATTATTGTAAAATGGACAGCTTCTGCCATCATATACAACTAATTATCATCTCTTCTTTTTTTGGGATTGGTTGAAGTGATTTCAGTGTATAAAACTTATCAGGCCACTACTGCCATAGAGGTCACATGTTATTGAAAATCAATTTATTTAAAGTATGGCCAGATATATGGCTGCCCTTCAGTGTACTGCCTGGTTCACATGGACATTTTCAGGGGTTCAGTGCACAGATGAGCAAGAAGATCTCTAATTTGTCTCTTCTGGAGAAGGTTTTCATTGGGATGCCAGTTTTCTGTGCTCTTGAGGGATGGCGGGTCTCAGTGTTGGCGAGGGATGACGGGTCTCAGTGTTGGCGAGGGATGGCGGGTCTCAGTGTTGGTGAAATATGCCAATTGTCAGTTCTGTTAATGGATGATGGTTTTGAGTTCTGGTGAAGGATGTCATTTCTCAGTGCTGGTAAAGGATGCTGGGTTTTTTTTGTTTTTTTTTTGAAAGGGCATTGATTCTCAGTGCTGGTGCAAAATGTTGTATGTCAGTTCTGTTGGAGGATGCCATTTCTCAGCTCTGGTGAAGGATGACAGCGAGGACAACTAGATCTTAGTGCTGGTGAGGGTTCCAGTGATGCTGAGAGGCACTGGGTCTGGTTATTGATTCTCAATGTTTCTGAAAGTTGCTGATTGTCAGTTGTGGTGAAGGTTGTCCATTCTCAGTGCTGGTGAGTGTTGCTGGGTCTCTGTGGTGTGAGGGACGCCAGGTCTTAGTGCTGTTAAGGGACAATGGATCTTACTGCTGGTAGGTTATCTCAGTGCTGGTAAAGGGACCCCTGGTCTTGAGTTGAAGAGCATATAATTGCTGGTAAGGGATATCGGGTTCCAGTGTTAGTGGGGAAAAATGGGTCTCCATGTTGGTGAGGGATTTTGAGTCTTGGTGCTGGTGAAAGACACTGGGTCTCAGTGCTAGTAAGGGCTGCAGTCCTCAGTGTTTGAAGAACATCTCAATGCTGGTAGGGGACCCCTGGTCTCAGGTTGGTGAAGAACGTATCAGTGCTGGTAAGGGAAACCGGGTCCCAGTGTTAGTGGGGAACGCCAGGTGAGGGATGCCGGTTCTTAGTGTGGGTGTGGGATGCTGGGTCTTAAAATCAGGAAGTCTTCCTGCGCTCTTATGTAATATCTAAAAAAAAATGGGGTAAATGCTAAAAAGCGGCTAAAATCTACTCCTGGTAACAAGGCATTCTCTCCATGTGCTGGGTGTAAAGCATAGGAAAAAGGTGTTCCAAGATGGCGTCACGCCGGAAGTACGTCACCACGCTGAGCCGTCGACTTGTTGCGTCACATGACTTCGTCAGGACACTGAGGATATTTCTCTGATCTCATATAGGGATCCACTAATTATTGGTTGATGTCCCTTATTGGGTACCAGGGGGTCACTTTTATATTGTCCCCATGTGGATTGGGGGTCACCCTGATGCTGGGTCTTAATGTTGGTGAGGAATGCTGGACCTTAGTGTTGGTGAGGGACTCTGGGTTTCAGTGCTGGTAAGAGACTCCTGGTCTCAGTGTTGGTGGGGAACGTCTCAGTGCTGGTAAAGGATGTCAAGTCTCAGTGCTAGTAGGGGACACCATGTCTCAATGCTGGTGAGGGTGCTTGGTCTTGGTGCTGGTGAGGGTGCTTGGTTTTGGTGCTGGTGAGGGTGCTTGGTTTTGGTGCTGGTGAGGGTGCTTGGTCTTGGTGCTGGTGAGGGTGCTTGGTCTTGGTGCTGGTGAGGGTGCTTGGTCTTGGTGCTGGTGAGGGTGCTTGGTCTTGGTGCTGGTGAGGGTGCTTGGTCTTGGTGCTGGTGAGGGTGCTTGGTCTTGGTGCTGGTGAGGGTGCTTGGTTTTGGTGCTGGTGAGGGTGCTTGGTTTTGGTGCTGGTGATGGTGCTTGGTCTTGGTGCTGATGAGGGACACTAGGTCTCGGTGCTGGTGAGGGACACTAGGTCTCAGTTTTGGTGAGGGACTCCATATCTCAATGTTGAGGGACATTCTGGTGAGAGGCTTTGCACACACCAGTGTCTTACGGAAGTATTTGGATAGCCTCTCATTACATGCACTGTTCATGGTTCCAGAGTCATCAGCTGTTTGTTCACAGTGTATAACGGATATCTGGAATCCTCATGAGACTTTGGGAGGGTTTATTAAATGTAATATTTATTTTTCCCTTGGCTCTTCCTGTTCGTGATAACGTACATAGAAGACAAACTCCTCCCTAGCTGCCCTGAAGGGTACTTGTAGTAAATTCTAATTTGTTGGCTGAGTGAGCTCCCAAAAAGATCTCCGATTGCATAGGAAACACTCGGGAAGCGCTCAGGAATTGCTGGCTGCATGCTGCAGAACTCTGGGAAGGGGGGTGTCTGATCAGTCTATTGCCAGTTTTGTGGAGGGAAATAACACCCCATCAATTGATCAGGAAATATGCACATTGTAAGGATCTTAGAGGTTCAAGTCAAAATGTACACTTTGTACAAGAAGACATACTGTTTTCTGTGTGCCATTGCGGTGACAGGCATTGATCAGGTGTATTCAAACGCCAGTCGTTGCACATAGTGTATATGGGCCCTAAGAAAGACAGGGAGCAAATCCCACGAGCAGATAGTGAGAGTTCAGGAGACCTTTGTGTGTGTGTGTGTGTACATTTTGTAATGGTGAACAGTTAACATTCGAGCCCCTACAGATTGAAATGAAGAGATCAATTTAGAAATGGCTTGTGTAGCAAAAATATGTTCTAATAACCTCTTGAATCCCCAGATCATGTTCTTCCTACACCACGTTCCAAATTATTATGCAAATTCTATTTAAGTGTCACAAAGATGAAATATTTTGTTTTTCAGTGTAACTCATGGATGGCATTGTGTGTCAGGGCTCTTTTGATCACTGAAAACAATCTCGGACACCTGTGATAATTAGATTGGCCCGGTGAGCCCAATTTAAGGAAAAACTACTAAAGGAGGGTGTTCCACATTATTAAGCAGAGCACCATTTTCAAGCAATATGGGGAAGAAAAAGGATCTCTCTGCTGCCAAAAAGAGTGAAATAGTTCAATGCCTTGGACGAGGTATGAAAACATTCGATATTTCACGAAAACGTAAGCGTGATCATCGCACTATTAAGAGATTTGTGGCTGATTCAGAGCACAGATGGGTTGGTGCAGATAAAGGCACATTGAGGAAGATTTCTGCCAGATCCATGCATCGGATCAAGAGAGCAGCTGCTAAAATACCATTACATAGCAGCAAACAGATTTTGAAGCTGCTGGTGCCTCTGGAGTCCCACGGACATCAAGGTGTAGAGTCCTCCAGAGTCTTGCAACTGTGCATAAACCTTCTATTCGGCCACCACTAAGCAATGCTTACAAGCAGAAACGGCTGCATTGGGCAGAAAAATACATGAAGACTAATTTTCAAACAGTCCTGTTCACTGCTGAGTGCCGTGCAACCCTGGATGGTCCAGATGGATGGAGTAGTGGATGGTTGGTGGACGGCCACCCTGTTCCAACAAAGCTGCGACGTCAGCAAGGCGGTGGTGGAGTCATGTTTTGGGCCGGAATCATGGGAACAGAGCTGGTCGGCCCCTTTAGGATCCCCGAAGGTGTAAAGATGACCTCTGCAAAGTATGTGGAGTTTATGACTGACCACTTTCTTCCCTGGTACAGAAGGAAGAACTATGCTTTCTGTAATAAAATCATCTTCATGCATGACAATGCACCATCTCATGCTGCAAAGAATACCTCAGCATCAATGGCTGCTATGGGGATAAAAGGAGAGAAAGTCATGGTGTGGCCTCCATCCTCCTCTGACCTCAATCCTATTGAGAACCTTTGGTCTCCAAACAGCAGCTCTGGGAGGCTATTCTGACATCTTGCAAACAAATTCAAGCAGAAACTGTCCAAAAACTCACAAGTTCAATGGATGCAAGACTTGTGAAGCTGCTATCAAATAAGGGGTCCTATGTTACAATGTAAGGTGACCTGTTCAAATGTTTACAAAGTTAAAATGTTGTTAAAAGTTTAATTGAAATAGCTTTTGATTTCAGTAAATATGCTGCAAACACAACAAATAACAATGTTCAGTTCTTTACAACCTATAAAGTGTTTTGAAACTTACTGTGCGGAATAATTTGGAACAGTGCATTGGAAGTGTTTTATGTTTAACAAAAATCCTGTTATTAGGAGGTTTGTTCAATAAAATGTGAATTGTACTCTTATAGTTGATAACATGAGAATTATGCTGACTGTTATTTACATCAATTATTTAGGTAAATGAGAAAAATATCATTTGCATAATAATTTGGAACACGGTGTATGTCCTTGAGCCCCAGAGCAATTTCTTTTCTGTTTTTGGTGATCTCTCAGTTTTGCATGTTGTACCATTTAGTGTTTGTAGTCTACTTTAATGTATTTTACCTTTTTTTTTGGAGACAGATAGAACTTTCATTTGGCTGAAAAAAATTAATATACTGTATATACTTTGATTTCCTTGGTTTATGTTGGAAATAATATGTAAAAAAAGTGGGAAAAATACAGTGTTCTTCCATCTCAAAAAAAGTGATTCCCTCTCCTCACCTCCTTCCTCATCATCCTCCTCCTTCCTTATCATCCTCCTTCTTCCTTTTCCTAATCTCCTCCCCTCTCCTCATTTCCTCCCTCTTCTGCTCAAATCCTCTCCTTTCCCTGTATCCTCCCTTCTACCCCACCGCCATCCCTCTTTTTATCTCTTCCCTCCTTCTCATCTCCACCCTCTTCCTCATCTCCGTCTTCTTCATCTCTTACCTCCTCCTCCTTTCCTTCCCCCTCCCCCTCTCTCCCTTTCCTTCCCCCTTACCCTCTCTCCCTTTCCTTCCATTCTCTTCCTTCCATAACTCCTTCCTCTTTTTCATCCTGCCCTCCTCTCCATAACATGTCCGCTGATACCTGCTGCTCCATAGAGAGCTATGAATGGTCCGATTGAGTCTGCCTGAAAAATTGACAAGGGGACCTGATCAAACAGTCAGTGAGAAAGGAGTGTTTGTCAGGAATGGACTTGCCAATAATGGTGGGACTCACCTGCCTTGTGGGCTGCAGTACCAGGGCTGGCCAGCGGGTGCTCTCAGCAATCAGAGACTCACCCCTGCAATCAGCCAAACACCTGAAGCTGGTTGCAGGGGTTGTATTTAAGGAATGGCCAGACTCAGTCAGGGCCTTGGTGTGTGTTTTTCCATGGGCCCCTGTATCTTGTATCCTGTATTCCTGTTCCTGTCTGACTTGTTGCTGACCCTGCCTGATACTGACCTCTGCTGACTTCTCCTGCTTGATCCCTGGCTTGTGACCCTGACCATTCTCTGCCCGACCCTCTGTACAGCGCTGCCCGTGAGTTACTGAACCCAGCTTGTGACCCTGACTACTCTCCCGCCTGTTCCTGGTACTCTGTTTGCCCGTTTGCTACTGACTCGGCCTGCCTGACTACTCTTTGTATTGTATGTATTGTTATCGGTGGGTGGTTTGGTTTGTTTGCACTGTGTTTGTTTAGTTTTGCACTGCGTTTTGTATTGTTAGTCTTAATAAATTATATTGTTTATACCATATCTGAAGCCTGCATTTCCCTGTGTCAGTCCACACACTTCTGGTCATGCCTGGAGCCCTGACAGTGTTAAACATTGTCCATGATACTTTGTTTCCACTAAGTTACAATTTTAGGACAAGATTTTGCAGTCTGTCACCTCCTTGTTCTTGATTCAAGCACTATTAGGAAAGAGTAAGGCTACCATACGTAGGAAAGGGTCCCCTTTCCTTGGTGACAACTTCAGCAATGTGGGGATACATGTGGGTCCCGTTTATTTAAATGAACTGGGGTTTTATACCATCTCAGAAAGTTAACGAAAGCAAGATGTATAAGGTTCAGGATCTTGGTTTGTTAGTCCAGAGTGATCTCCTGATATAGCCCTCTGTGTAAAGGTTTAAAATCTTGGCTTGTTGACCCAGATCCTTTCTGATGGCTCTCTATGTACTCGGTTTAGGCTCTTGACTTTTTGGCCCAGTGCAATCCCTCGGGATAGTTCTTTATGTACAAGGTTCAGAATTTTGGCTTTTGATCCAAAGATTTCTTGGGATACCTCTCAATGTACAAGGTTCAGCATCTTGGCTCGTTGGCCCAGAGTGATCGCCCAGAATAGCTCTGTGTACAAGGTTTGGACTCTTGGCTTGATGATATAGATTCTTGGGATAGCTCTCAATGTACACGGGGCTGAATTTTTTGCTTGTTGATCAGGAGTGATCTCTTGTGATGGCTCTTTATGTACAAGATTTGGAATTTTGGCTGATTAGTCCAGAGTGATCTCTTCTGATAGCTCTCTATGTACAAGGTTTGGAATTTTAGGCTTGTTGGTCTGGAGTGATCTCTTGGGATAGCTCTCTATCTATGTACAAGGTTTGGAATTCCGGTTTGTCAGCCCAGAGTAATGTCTTGGGATATATTAATATATAATTTCGGTATCCACAAAACGAAACCCTATTAATTATAATACACTTCAAACTCTGTAAATCTAACAAAGTCCCGCAAAAATCCAACAAGTCACACTTTCACCCCTGAAAGTGAATCAAATTAAATCAAAAACCTTTTTTGTGCCAGTCAATGTTTATAATTAAAAATAAAGTCCACGCAAATTACTCTTCCGTGTTCAACTTGCACCTCCACATAAATCCAGATAAAGTGTGTACCTCAAATAAATAAATAAAAAAAAAAAAAAACTACATAGTGCATTACCTTCAATAACAGCTGGTATATACTTCACACAAATATGTGCAAGAATTGAAACAAGATTCAAATCGTGAGCAACACATGAATCATGAAATCACTCCGTGTACACCATAAATAAATAAATGTGAATAATCAGTGTACACTCATAAAAAAAATGAATAAACAAATAAAAGGATAAATAAAAAAAAAATAAAATAAATAGTGCACTCTCCGTGAACACTTCTATAGCTGAAAAGCATACAATTACCCTCTCAGAGTAATAACAAGCCTTTGTAGAGTACGCCCTGGACTCACTCTCTCAGGAATGGACTTGCCAATAGTGGTGGGACTCACCTGCCTTGTGGGCTGCAGTACCAGGGCTGGCCAGCGGGTGCTCTCAACAACCAGAGGCTCACTTCGGCAATTAGCCATCACCTGGGGCTGATTGCAGGTGGTGTATTTAAGGGATGGCCAGACCTGCAGTCTGTGCCTTGTTGTACTGTTTGCTTGGCCCTGGTTTCCAGATCCTATTTCTGCCTGTCCTGACGCTGCCTGAACTCTGCCTGTACTGACCTTGGCTAGTCCTGACCACTCTCCCGCCTGCTCCTGGTACTCCGTTTGCCCGTTTGCTATGACCCGGCCTGCCTGACTACTCTTGTATCGTATGTTTATCTGTTGGAGGTTTGGTTCCGTTTGTTTGCACTATGTTATGTTTAGTTTTGCACTGCGTTTGTATTGTTAGTCTCAATAAATTATATTATTTACTATATCTGAAACCTACGTTTCCCTGTGTCAGTCCACACACTTCTGGTCACACCCGCATCCCTGACACACTCCAATGTTGTAGTCACTTCCTGGACTCTCAATCCAGTAAATACAGGTGGGGTTCCACTTTTAGGCAAGCATCTAATGTCTCCTCATAAATAGAACAGGAAGCCCATGTAGTGTGGTGTCAAAGAGTATAAACATTTATTAAAAAATCTTACATAGGGATCTCATCTGTCAGCTGCATATTCCCATGACATAGCCTGAGCAGCTTCCTGGAACGTTCTAATGCTATTTCCAATAGTAAAGATGGCCGCTCTGCCAGTTCCGGTTTGCGCCGTTACATCAGACGTCACGTCTTCTGACGCGTTTCGTCACTTCCGGACTTCTTCTGAAGGGAAGCTCTCTATGTAGAAGGTTCTGAATTTTGGCTTTGTGGTCCAAATAGATTTTTTGGGGATAGCTGTCAATGTACAAAGTTCACCCTTTTGGCTTGTTGGCCCAGTGTGATCTCTTGGAATAGCTCTGTGTTTTGACTCTTGGCTTGTTGGTACAGATTCTAGGAATAGCTCTTTATGCACAGCGCTGAATACTTTTCATGTTGGTCTGGAGGAATCTCTTGTTATAGCTCTTTATATACAAGGTTTGGAATTTTGGCTTGTTGGTCTGGAGTGATCTCTTGGGAAAGCAGTCTATGTACAATGTTTGGAATTTTAGCTTTTTTATTTAAAGTGATCTCTTGGAACTGCTCTCCATGTACAAGGTTTAGAATCTTGGTTTGTTGGCCCCGAGTAATTTCGTGGGATAGCACTTTATTTACAAGGTTCAGAATTTTGGCTTTTTTATTCAAAGATTTCTTGGGATAGCTGTCCATGTACAAGGCTCAGCATCTTGGCTCCATGCCCCAGAGTGATCTCTTGGAATAGCTCTGTGTGCAAGTTGTGGACTCTGGGCTTGTTGGCACAGATTCTTGGGATAGCTCTCTATGTACAAGGCACTGAAGTTGTTGCTTGTTGGTTTGGAGTGATCTCTTGGAATAGCTCTCTATGTGCAAGGTTTACAATCTTGGCTTGTTGGCCCAGAATAATATATTGGGATTGCTCTTTATGTACAATGTTCAGAATTTTGGCATTTTGGTTCAAAGAGATTTCTTAGGATAGCTCTTTATGTACAAGGTCCAGCATCTTGACTTGTTGGCCCAGAGTATTCTCTTGGGATAGCTCAGTGTACAAGGTTCAGCATCTTGACTTGTTGGCCCAGAGTATTCTCTTGGGATAGCTCTGTGTACAAGGTCCAGCATCTTGATTTGTTGGCCCAGAGTATTCTCTTGGGATAGCTCTCTGTGTACAATGTCGAGCATCTTGACTTGTTGGCCCAGAGTATTCTCTTGGGATAGCTCAGTGTACAAGGTTCAGCATCTTGACTTGTTGGCCCAGAGTATTCTCTTGGGATAGCTCTCTGAGTACAAGGTCCAGCATCTTGACTTGTTGGCCCAGAGTATTCTCTTGGAATAGCTCTGTGTACAAGGTCCAGCATCTTGATTTGTTGGCCCAGAGTATTCTCTTGGGATAGCTCTCTGTGTACAAGGTTCAGCATCTTGACTTGTTGGCCCAGAGTATTCTCTTGGAATAGCTCTGTGTACAAGGTTCAGCATCTTGACTTGTTGGCCCAGAGTATTCTCTTGGAATAGCTCTGTGTACAAGGTTCGGGCTATTGGCTTAATTGTACAAACTCTTATGATTGCCATCTATGCACAAGATGTAGAATTTTAGCTTGTTGACCCAGAGTATTTTCCATGTGCAGGGTTTAGCATCTTGGTTTGTTGGTCTGTACTGATCTCTTGGGATAGTTCTATAATGTACAAGGGTCAGGTTTCTTTTGCTTGTTGGTCTGAAGCTCTCTATGTGCAAGGTTTGGAATTTTGCTTTGTGTCCATAGTGGTCTTTTATGATGCCTCTTGGCGAAATTGAACTGTTTTCAAAGGTGATAAATGGATTTTTTCATCATTCTGTTACAGGATATAACATAGTACAGGATCCCATCCCCATTCAAGAACATACCAGCCTGTCCTATATTCTACATACCACCGTAGGCAGTTCTATGTTGGCCTTACAACTATGTTTTTGTTTTATCCGATCAACTGTACAGTATAAAATGATCTAATTATCTTACATATTGTGAGTGATAATTTGGTAGCGCACTGATTTTTGTTTTTATAGATGAGACGATTTCCTTTGAGTCTAAATTGATGTAAATGATACCGAAATAAAAAATATATAGTGTATGCGTTTGACAGACAGAATTAGGCAATCCATTTGATCAGTTTCATTTTTGATTCAATGCCTTCACATTATTTGAAAGATAACGAATCAGTGGTGAAAATCCATTATGAATTATATATAATTATAAATCCTGGATCAAACGGTCAATGATCAGATCGCTGTGAGTTTAGCAGTGTAGAGAAGTATTGATGAAGTAAATACAATGTCAGCACGTGGGAAGGGTTATTGTAATGTTCACAGATTACATATACACTCATTTCTTTAAAATTAAATCCATTCTTTCACCCATTTTTCTGTTCTTTATGCCATCTCATAGTTAATCTCCTGCAGCCTCTTTGCAGTGATTTGATGCCTACATGCCCTTGCTCCAGCGTCAGTTGCACTTCATTTATCTGGACCAGCTTCTGAATGGTGATGGTAGACCACAACTTTGCTGTTTGTTTCTGAATTTATTGTCTCTATCAGATGTACATATGACAGGGTGACAACAGAGGAGCACAACTGGATGTCAGGTACAGAGTGTTGTCACCTTATAAAGGGAAGTGGCTGAGCAAGCTTCATGGCAGAGCTGCCAGGGATGATTTCAATGAAAACTGTAGATTTTTGGAAAGAATGGAAAAATAGTCTACTTTTGGTGATTACATATAAATAACAAGAGTATGTTCCTTGTAGGGGAATGTAATGTCCGGTATACACAGTCCGGCTTTTCCTTTTCATCTGTGAAGAGTAAAGTTAAGCAGATCTGACTGCATTGGCTGGTTTGGGTAACCCTCTCTGCATGCGATTGTGTGGATGAAGCTCAGCTGGGTGAGTCGGGAGCAGTTCTAGATTCGGAGATGAATAACTTTCCCTGGAATTCTTCTGTCAGGCCGGCAGTCTGGGGGGGTTAATTGTCTGCCGGCTGACGTTGATTGTTCGACTTGTGAAGCTCGGCGCTCCGTGTCATGATGTCTGTCTGGGGACATCAGCTTGTATACTGCTATTCATATTGATTTTTTTCCAACTTTAATTGACTGCCACTGACGAGGGTCACACAGCACAGACGAGCCTATGGGGAGAGACGGAGTTTAGCCTGGAAGTTGCTTTTCACGGGTCCATCTGGGGATCTGCAACCAGGTCTTGGGCTGTCCAAGTCAGCACCTACATTTCATTTATTCACAGCCTTCATATTAATTATGTGGAATGAATATGGGTTATACTGAATGTGTTACGGTGTGATCACTGCCAGATGATAGGAACTGATCCCTGATTCCAGAACGTACCAGTCTGTTTTGTATTCTAAATTTGACACCAGTAAAGGACCTTTTGCTGAATCCGTTTTTCCAAGATGCATTCAAAAACTCTAGATATAATAAATTCAAAACCCAGACATGTTAGGAATCCAAAATATACTATATGGCCAAAAGGTTGTAGACACCAAACCATCACACTTACATCATATTAACTTCTTGGACATCCCATTCCAAAGCCATGGTCATGATTATGGAGTTGGACCCCCGTTGTGGTTATAACCGCCTCCCCTCTTCTGGGAAAGTTTCCCTCAAGATTTTTGGAGGGTGTCTGTTGGAATTTTGTGCCCGTTTGAGGTCAGGTACTGATGATGTATAGGAAAATGCAACTCGCAATTGACAGTCCAGTTCATCCCCAAGGTGTTCAGTTGGGTTGAGGTCTTAGTGCAGGACACTTGAGTTCCTCTACACTAAACTGCTCCAAACCATGTCTTTATGGAGCTGGCTTCGTACAAAGGAGCACAGTCATGCTGGAACAGAAAAGGGTCTTCTCCAAACTGTTATTACAAAGTTGGATGAGCACAATTGTATTAACAGTACCTTTCACTAGAAACACCTGAACTCCATCATAGTCCCTCCATAGAGTGCAAGGAATACTGCCAATGTAAGCTTTTCCTATTCGTCCTCATGAACCATTTATTCACTTTATCAGCTTGTATGGAGAATTCCCAGCTATGGTGAGTGCATAGTTAATTATGATGTTGATGAAAGGGTCATGCTGGAGCTTTATCCTCCTGTTTGATGGTCTTGAGATATGATGTTCATGCAGAACAGTTGACTGGTGGTTTCCCCAGCTGAAGAACCTTCGTGTAATTTGTGAAATGGTGGTTTATATGGCCAAGTGACATAGGGGGAACGTTTACATAGGTGCTTGGTACAATTTCCAGGTCTGACTGTGGACATGAGCAACCCAGCAAGAACCCTCTTGGTGCGGATCCCTCCATGGTGTCTTCTCTGTATGGGCTGCTCCTTTCCACCGTTGTAACATCAGTATTATAAGATGCGCACACGCTTGACTCTAAACTGGGGCTGAGCAGACAGTAGCCGCGGCTCCTGGGTTGGTTTAAGGTCCTGTATTCAGATTGTGTCACCTGATACCTTACGCTGGGACCATGGTGCAGGGTATGATTTATTTATTGTCCAGCTGTTACGGTGTGTATGGAGGCCTTGTAACCTGCAGCATTTACATATGTTTTCATACTCTGATATGCACAATTTAATCCCATAATGTGCT